GCGATCCCACAGGATCTGTTGAAGGAATCGGATCTGTGACGGACGGCGACGAGAAGAAATACGTCCCTCGAACTTCGAAGGTGAGCGACGACTGAGGCTTCGGTTTCCGGAATGTCGTTTTTGTTCAGGAACTTCCTCCTCACCGTCGGATGATTTACGTACCCAGCGACCGTGGTAGTAAAGTGAATGTTCGCATGAGAGTTATGGATGTTAAATCATCCCCATGGAAAACCGTCTCCCTTTCGACCGTCCATACCTCTTCTACTGAGATTCATTTTCAGCTGTTCCCTGAAGGCGTCCGCCGTGATCCTTCCGCTGGGAGGGACAACTTTTCTCCGCGGCCTATCATCGGCGGAAAACACACCAGAGGAATTCATGCGTCCCACTCAGGGTTGAGTGCGATTCCGCGCGAAGGGCTGAAACGGAGACTTTACGTTTTCCTGACGGTTGACAGTCGAGGATCACGCATCTTAACAGTCACTGAGTCTGAGCGATTGGTCGAGCGATTGAGAGCGGGACAAGTTATCTGGAATGTGCGTCGGTTGGGTGGAAAAGATGAAGTGGAAGGGGACCAAATGAAGAAGGGCCATAAGCCTCAACGACTGAAATCAGGAAGTGGTGGAGGTGAACAGGAAGATGTTAGCATTAAGAAAAAGGGACAAGAAACCGAATTCAAGCTTCGGGTTGTCAAATCGAAAACGAAAGAGAAGTCCGCGCAGATTCCGTGGGTTGGAATAAGCTTCCGATTCGTGCTTCCCAAAATCACTCTTACATGGACGACCCATTCGGACGTTATCTTAGCGCTGCACTTGAGTGACATCAGATTCACATCCTTCCTCGCCCCGAACAGAGTTGCCGCGCTTGGAGGAGGAGCTGCTGAACTGGAGAGGATTCTGATCACTGGATCGTCCCACCAAACTGATGGGTCTAAAAAAGCCACTGGAAAATCGGAACTCAGGTGGTGGAACCGCTACAATAGAGCAGATGCGGCAGTGGAACGCGCTGCTTTTCCATCGATTCAAGGTCCTCCAATTGAAATTCGACCTTTGGACCAAGTATCTCTTCAGCTACCAGGAGTTTCCAAAGAGGAACAAGAATTGATGAAGCGTGAATTCCAATTGAAAGAGTTTCTAAAGTATCAAAAGTATCAATTGAAACGCTATTCGGATCTTAAAACAGAAATATTTACTGATAGTGAAGCAAGAATGGATTTTACTGTTGGATCAATTCATTGTGATCATTTTGTTGAAGGGGATATTCCAGTCATTCTGAAGAGCACCAACACGTCTGAAGTCGTACAAGGAGAAGACGGAGGGTCGCCATTCTTTTCACTTCATGTCATCAAATCGACTGTAGATCCGAGTTTCGCTCCAATTTATGATGATATCAACGTAAGCAAATAGATATCAACGTAAGACACAACAATGAGAAAGCAAATTATGCAACTCTGAAAGTATTACTAATCTACACAAACTTAATATGGTCATTGTGCATGTGCCATTCTATTCGAAAATTTTCCCTCCTTCAGGTTACTGTTAGCCCCTTGGCAGTCAACGTTGAACTTCTGGTTGTCGAACAGCTTATTTCTCTTGCTGAGAAGGAAATAGCTCTGATGCAAGCATCCACTTTCGTCGCAGATTCTGATTCCTTCAAAACTCCCGATCAGCGCGAAAATACCATTTTAACGAAGCGTCTTGATTCATTCGTTAATGAAGATGAGAGATTAGTTATCTGGCTCCCAGAATTCAGAAACCCAAGGAGTTTCCCTGAAGCTGAAGATCGCTCAGACGCCTTCGGGAGTCCCCCCTCTCCCAAAGAGCAGTTTCTTATCGAAGCCATGGCGAGGGGCCAACTCGTGTTCCCTCGGGCTGATGCTCTAAATGCTTCAGTTGATGGTGTTACTTCTCCGTTCTATCTAAGTGGAATGCAACAGCGTGAAAAATTTCGAGAGACTCTCTGGATCCCAGATCTCGAATTTACAACAAGCCCACCGGAAAATCGGTGGGCATCGGGTTTGATGATTCCTTTAAAATCAATTGTTGAAATGCTAGAAGGGCAAGCGGTTTATCAGGCACGTGTGGACGAATCCTTCCGCGGACGAAGCTGGTTGCAATCCGAAATTGATGTCGTAACTGGTGCTGGTGTGCAGGAAATGCTGCAATCCTACCAAATTTTGACGACAGCTGCACCGGCTAGCACGTCCGCTCGAGGACAGCAAACAGAGCAACGTGAGGCTTTAAAGGGGTTGCGCCAAGAAGCGCAACGGGCATTCGAATCACGTTTTGATATTCTGTTTTTACCGCCTGCTTTCGGATTTTCACCCTGGTTGGTATTCCCAACCCCACGGTAAGACGTGTATCCCTAGAGCGCCAGAGAGTTTTGTTCATTCTGGGCATCTTGTTGAGACCCTCCTCTCCTTCAGGTGGGTTGAACTGAAAGACGCACGGCCAGTTTACATTCGTCATTTGAGAATCAATTCATTCGTTCTGACGATTTCCATCCGAACATCGAACAAACGGATTAGTCGGCAAATTCTTCACATCGTTGACGCTCTGCCCTTGGACACCCCGTACATGGGGGTGCAGATTAATTCAGAAAAACGTCACAACGCTGTTGCGACCTGGAGTGAACTCATTCACTCTCTCAGAAACTCTTATCTCAAACAACTCATTCGGCAAACACTTCCTTCAGCTTGGCTTTTCAATCCGTTTGCATTTGCTACGGGCGCCTGGCGCGGCGGAAAGGCGCTTGTTTCTTCTACCGTCAAAGTGGGTCTAACTTGCTTTTACAGTTCACTGTCACTCCTTACTCTTCTCAGGGTGCAAGGTGTAGAGGCCGTCGTACGTTTTCAGTAGCGGGAATGATCAATGGTTTCCGGTTGGGAATGGTGATGTTCTTCTTGTACACTGTTGGCGGAATTTTTCAAACTTGTTCTCATTTTGGGAATTTATTGCATAAGGCAATGGGAGGTTCGCGTCCTCGACCTCAAGGAGTTCTAGATGCGATTTGGAAGGGCATTGATGGATTCTTTGAGGACACCTTCGTGACGCCTTGGGTTGCTCTCTATTCAACACCTGTTACCGCAATTTCAAGGCAAGCTTGTAGACTACTTTACAACTCCAAGATACAATGTGCACGTGTTTCTTCAGAGGAGACGGATTTTGGAAAGTGCTGCTTCTCTTCATTGGGTGCCTCCTTCGCTGTTTGATCTGCCCAGTATTCGGATTCCTCAATTTTTTTACTTCTGTGACGGAAGGCTTCGCCAACGCCCTCATTGGTGATTTTGAGCAATTCGCCCGAATGCAAGAACAATCAGATCTTCTGGCAAAAGCACAACGGCGCACAGGCGGTCTCGGTGGAGGTGCAGGTTCTGGAAGTGCCGTGCTCCGACGCAACGCAGCAGATACCGCAGGATTTTCGAGTTTTGGACTACCACATGGCGGAACTAGAGTACATCACCTTGATGTTGAGTGAGCAGAGAAAATCGTGACTTTTAAGGGTTCTGTTACTTTTTGTTTTTGCGATGTTTGTCTTGACACATACATTCACACTGTAAAAATAACTAGAAGAAACACAATTTTATGTGTCTTGACACATACATTCACACTGTAAAAATAACTAGAAGAAACACAATTTTATGTGTCCCTCAAGAGAATTCATCTGCTTGGAAACAGGCAACCAGTTCTTTGTCGTCTTCCTCTACGGCTACTTCTTCATCGTCAAAGTCGTAATCAGCCGGATCAAGGGGCTGCTTTTTCAGAAGATGAACAGCTGCTCCTGCCGCGAGAAGTGCGGCTGCAGCAGCTGCAACTGTCCCACCAGCGATCGCAGCTATCGGTGGCCCGGGAGGGTGGAAAAGAGGCACTGTTGTCGTGGTAGTGGTAGTGGTGGTGGTTGTGGTGGTTGTGGTGGTTGTGGTGGTGGTTGTGGTGCCCACCGCCTCCCCAGAGGTTTCACTGTAATGGCCGACTGTATGATTATCGCTTTCATATCTGAAGTAGGATGTTTGATACATGTTCTGCATAACTCCGCATACCCGGCTCCAGGTTTGTTCTGCTGAAATTCAATTTCATCGAAAGTGCAGCCTTCACAAAAAAAGTTTATCTGAGAAGCAGATGAGGATGTTTCTAAAGTACATCGAATTTCTGCAATAATTTCTGCAACATCTTCGACTCACAAAGGCGTAAGGTTCATTTGGATTGGCGCTTGTCGAGTACGTTGGATTGCCTACAAGAATCAATGACACTGAATTGTTGAAGACGCTCACCAAAGTACTCATCTTTTCCATCAACTTTGTCCAGAACGTCTTGGGGGACGAATGTGAAAATTGTTTTACCCTCCTTCTTCACCTCTAACACATTTCCATAGTCCAGGGCACTAAGCCAGTAACCAAAGTAATTGACTTCGTCGCCGGTTAATTTTAACGAATACGGGCTTCCCTCGTAAGCCACCGGATAGGTGCCTAAAATATTTCCAAATTGAAAATATTCGGAAGCAGCGTCCACCCACCGTTTCCATAAGCTCCACCGTAGACGTCACGTCCCTAGAGCAGAATGAAGTAGTCCCGTTGTGTACATCTACTTGGTCGCTACTGTTTTGCCATACCCTTATTAGCACCGGTGAGTATTTTGCACGAATCTCACTCCTTCCCCCAAAGTTGGACTCAAAGCTACTCACACCATGAAGATGATCGAAATTTTCAACACCCTGCGAGAAAAATTGGGTGGGCGTGCAAAGGTCGTTTTTTCCATACCGTCCAGTCGAACTTTGCCGTTGATTTCTGCACTCCGGGTTTCTCAATCGTTACAAGGACTCCGCCTAACGCTACCTTGAAAAATAATAAAAAGAGAAACATCATGTATGGTACGATCTATAAATGTCTTGCTGGTCTGGTGCAAAAAAGAAATTTAAGATTAAACAGAACTCTCGTTTCTGTTTGTGGTTTTCGAAATAAATGCAAAAGCTATTCACACGAGTAACACAACTTCTTTGTTGCGATGTCACAGGTATTCGCCCCCGGTAACATCCGCAGTTACTTCTCGGCTTTCTTCGTCGGCCTTTGTGTCTTCCGTTTCACAGAGATCGAAATCTGACGCCGTAACAGAATCGCGGCCTTTGAAATGGTACGCTGCAGCGCCACCTAAGGCACCCAACACCGCCAAACCCGCTAATGCCCCTCCGATTGCAGGCCCGATAGGAGGCGAAGCAGGTGGGGCGGTGGTTGTAGCTGTAGAGGTGACTGTTGTTGCTGTGGAGGTCACAATAGTTGTCGTGGTTGGTTTGGGTTTGGTTGTAGTTAATCTGGTGGTTGCTTTTCTGGTTGTTGTAGTTGTTGTAGTTGTTGTAGTTGTGGTAGTTGTGATTGTTGTAGTTGTGGTTGTTGTAGTTGTGGTTGTTGTGGTTGTGGTGGTGGTTGTTGTGGTGGTTGTTGTTGTGGTGGGTGTTGTTGTGGTGGTTGTTGTGGTTGTAATGGTTGTAGTGGTTGTTGGTTTCTTTGTTGGCACTGGTACAATTTCTCCAGATTTTGCCGTGTAATATCCCACCGTATGATTATCGCTTTCATATCTGAGCGAAATAAAATCATAATACCTAAACATACAAAGTATTCTTACCCAGCGCCACTCTGGGTAACTTGAAGAAAGCGAACTTCATCGAACGTGCATTGCTCGCAATAGAAGTTCACCTAATTCAGAAAAAAATAAAAAAAAATTAAGAGAAAATTCCTTACATAAACGTAAGGCTCGCCTGCGTTGGCACCACTATACCAATATGTCGGATTGCCTGAAAGAAATGACTTCTAAATATGAACAACATCATCCCATCAAAATCAAATCATCAACATCATCCCACCATAATATTCCCGACGGCTCTGAACATATCGCCGAATATGTTGTGCAGTAAATTCTCGAATGAGCTGGCCGTTATTTCTGAACTCCACAGTGTTGCCGTCATCAAGGGCACTCAACCAATATCCGAAGAAGTTAACACCCTTCAAACCCTTCTCCGTCAACTTCAATGTGTAAGGTGAATTGCTTTTTGCAACAGGGTATTCCCCTATAAGAACACAGAGATTGGCGCTAATGCAGAGGCTTCATCAATTACCTTCTCCACCTGCTCCTCCATATTCATCTGCACTCTAAAACGAGAGGGGTCAACAATTTCTAACATTCCAACTTACTGTTACAGTCACACCGCTATACACTCCTTTGATTTCACCATCTAAATGGAAGGTGCTTTCAAATGTGTCATGCACGCCTGGCGACAATTTGTCAAAATCTTCGATTCCCTGAACCAAACAAGTGAATTCTATGAAAAAGAACTTTCTTCCATGAGAAACTGTTACGTACGACATAATCAAATGTTGCTGTTGATTGTTGTCTTCCTGGAGCTTCAATCGAAATCGTAATATCAGCCAGAGAAGTTCGCCACAAAAATAAAAGAACGCACAAAAAATGATTCATTGTAAGAAAACTTTTTTATGAGTCTTGCATGCCGCTTCCGAACAGGTATTGGGACTTCTGTCATGTTTCCCTGCCTAACGGTAAATCTGTGATTGGGCCTGATTCCTGGGTCTTCTAAGACAATAATGTACTAAAACGTAGTTCATTGTATATCCATTTAGTTGAGGATCATCTTTGAATCTGTCATGCTTTTAACTGTATTAATTACTTTGGTACTTGGTACTGCAACTGCTATTCCGGTACCCGATGTAGTTTTCACTGGTCAACTCCAATTAGGACCTCAGCAGGCTCAACATCCTGCACAGTATCAACAACGGCAACAATTCCTGCAGCATCCACAGCAGCAGCAACAGCAGTTCCAGCAGTACCCACAACAGCAACAACAGCACCCACAACAACAGTATCCACAACAGCAGCAGTATCCACAACAGCAGCAGTATCCACAACAGCAGCAGTATCCACAACAGTACCCACAACAGCAGCAGTATCCACAACAGCAGCAACAACAATATCCACAACAACAACAATATCCACAACAACAACAATATCCACAACAACAACAATATCCACAACAACAACAATCACGAATAGCTCCTCCTCTTGTTCACTCTCGAGCATCCTCTGTCGCATCCCAGGGTCTCACTGGAGCCAGAATCAAAGCATTATCAGTGCCTCTCGTCAAGGGGAAAGGCAGCAACTCAGCTTACCCTACGTCTGGATCGGTAAAAAGAAAAGGGCCTGCGGTAGATATTGCGGCTAAACGCTTCGCAGCCCCATTGGAGAGAACTGGATTGCCGTCAGAACCAGTAAGACGAATTTTGTAATGATAGGAGGCACCGTTTATTTTTTCAGGAAATTCGTCCTGGTGAAATTATCAATGCTCCAGATGTTTCTATGTGGGGCGGCATTGCTGCCAATCTCTTCGCTCTTCCGTACGCACCCAAGGCTGAGAGTTCAGGAGCCACCATGAGCGATTGTAAGGCGACAGAAGCTGCCGTTGTCTGTTCGCTGCTCTGGAACGGGCTTGAAAAAGAACGACGAAAACTCATGGAGTCTTCAAATCTCCGAGAAGATTCCGGCGATTGGAGACGATCGAGAGATTCTAGAAATTCTAGAAATTCGAGAGGTTCGAGAGATTCACGGGATTTTCGAGGGTCTAGAGATTCACGGGGATCTCGGCGTTCGAGTCATATGATGATGTTCGGATGAACAAGAAATACAGACATGAATTTATTTAATCTCTAGTGCCCCATTTATCTTTGTATTCTCTTTTTGATTTCCGTTGTCGTGCCTGCCGTTCGTTGTATTTTCGCTTCTGCACAAACACCCATCTAGCTTGTGACTTCCAATCTTTAGGGATTTGCAACTTGCATTCATTCCATTCAACTTGTTGCTTTCACTCACTTGATCGATTGTTGTCTTTCTTCGGATCTTTAATTCGTTTAACTCTTTCGGGACTGGGTCTTTATAGTTCTGCGACATTGGATCACGTATTGATGTCGTATTTTTGGGACATACTTCTGCTTCATCCAATAAATACTGCAACTTTCTCAAGCATATTTCGCGATTCTCAAATCTTGAGCGCGATTCTAAAGACATACGGCCGTCGGAACTCTTTGGGACACACGTGGAACTTTTTGGGACACACGTGGACTCTCATACACACGGAGAATGGAAGGGATCCTACCATTCGATTCGACCGTCAATCGCTCCTGTTTTCCCAACAATTTTGGCCATCGAGCTCTGAAGCAGAAAGTTTTGGAACCTTTCTTATTCTTGATTCTACCGTATTTTCTCTTTGAGATCATTTGGCACCCAGGAATCATTTACACTGATTGTATAGAAAACTTTTGATGTCTTTGCGACACTTCTTGACCCTCCAGGGCCTCCTAGGATACAAGAGTGAGTACATCAACCTGAGCTGTACTCCTTCAACAAGGGATCCCATCGAAGACGATAACGTAGCGAGAAGACTTCTGCTTCCTTACCAGGGAGTGCGAATTTCTTCGTGATTCTTTCTTCAGGAATTTCTACGCGCCTCAGAATGGGGGAACGCCACAGAAGGCTGAACCTCATCCAAAGTAGATTGCGTACAGGACTAGATCTCGGTTCCAGCCTAAATGGCGTAAAAAAACAAGAAAAAGATGTCACGTAAGAAAAGGCCACGCTAAAAGAAATGATTTGGGACACGTTGGAGATAAAAGTCTCTTGAATTCATGGAGCAGGAATTTCGGATCGGACTTCCATATTTCGAATAATCTTCGTTTTGAAGCACATTTGTTGGAGTAAAGTGTTTTAACAAATGGTGGAAGATTGGGTTCTTGGGAATCAGTAGATGTCGGAATATTTGGGACACCAATCACCAAAGAGGGTGGGTGACGATAATAACTGAGATGATGACGATTCTGAAATTTTTTGAATGAAGAGATGACTTCGCCTTCAAGTAAAGCCTTAGCAAAGACTCGAGAAGAAAGACTCGAAAAACGGTCGAATAGAGGTTGCTTGATTGAGGGAAGGTATAAATCGAGAGGAAGATATTTTGGTTTAACGAAACCAACAACTGCATCAAGTTCAGAATCATAAAGAGGAGGCGGAGTAGCGAGAAAGTCGGAAAGTTCAATCAGTGGAGAAGAAGAACGAGAGAGGACAACCGAGTCCAATGGGAAACAATCGCGTAAGAAACGCTTCGGTGGTTCATTCGATGAGGAATCGATCGTCATGATTTGACAAAACACAACAAGATTGGGTCGAGGACTGAAAGAAAAAAGAAAGATGAAATAATGATTGATAAGGAGGAAGAAGAGGAGGAATTATCGAAGAGGAGGAATTATCGAAGAGGAGGAATTATCGAAGAGGAGGAATTATCGAAGAGGAGGAGTTATTCTATCGACTGACCGGAGTTTAGCTACTGATGAAGACTCATGAATGAAAACTCTGGGTTCAAGATTTCGGGCAAGTTGTGATTTTGCATCACTGCAGTAGTAACCGCTTCTTGCTGTTGTTGTTTTTGTTTGGATGCTAGGAAGCAAATCACATCGTGCTGCAACGTTATCAAGAAGTCCTCGTAAGACACAATCATGAAGCACCACACTCTGCAAGGAAACAAGATATGAAACACAAACATTCAGATGACTCACAAGAGAGGAAGATGGACGGAAGGACAGAGGGAGTTTGTCATTGAAGGATTGCCTGAAATGTATGTTAATGACGAAGAAACAATAAAACAACTGGCGTACAGATTGAACTGTCGAGTGATGACTGCTAGAAGTTGACGAGAAAGTTGAGAAGCTTCAGATAACTGACGATGATTCAATTTGCTCGATCGACAAAAACGCGTATCTGGAAAGAGAAACAATTGATCGTTCCGAAGCGAGACACTTAATCTCCGGTTTATTGGCTACAGTGTCTGTGAATAGTGGATTCAACCAACCTGTTCTGAGATGAGACGAAGTTTGATACCATCCATACCACCGCATCAACATCACTCTCATATTGCTGATAAGGGAGGGCGGACACCTTGCGCACTTCCGCTTTCCTTTTTACTGAAAGGTCACCTCGATCATCATCTTTCGAAAAATCTATTAAATTTCCAACCGACCAGCCACTAACAAGTGCGGCACACGCTGGAATCAGACTATTTCGAACTTCTTCCGTATGGGACGCTTGGGACATCGCGATAGCAGCAACGAGCATTGCAGAGAAACGGGGAGCGACTGGAAGCTTCGCCATAAGACGTCCTAGTTGCGTAATTCGAGTTGGTAATCGAAACTTATCAAGAACGGGAGAAGATTTCTGCTCCAGAAATTCCAACGCGCCAAGGGTAAGAAGTAAAGTTTTTGCACGACGGATAGACTCTTCAGGAGGTGGATTGGGAAATGGGAATCGAGCGATATCTGGGATCCCAAGAGATGCCATAAAGAGAAGGACAGAATCGAGAGGGGTAAGGAAAAGATTGGCCGTCGGAAACTGTGGAAAGGTGTGGGTATACATAGCAGAGGAATATAAGCGATAGCAATGCCCTGGACCAATGCGTCCAGCTCGACCTGCTCGTTGATCGGCAGAAGCCTTCGAAATCCATTGAACAGAGAAAAGTGAAGCAACGTCAGATGAGAGAAATTGACGTTTCTTCTCTCGACCACAATCAACAACGTATCTGAAAAAGAAGCACGATGAGTGACGGACTAGGAGGCAGTTACTCACCGGACATTCGGTAGAGTCAGTGATGTTTCGGCGACATTCGTTGATACAATTATCAGACGTTCATCTTGATTTGGTGGTTGGAAGGCTCTCGATTGATCTTTTGTTGAAAGTAAAGCGTAAAGCGGAACAACTCGAACTTTCGTTTGACGATCTCCAATTCCTCCCATCCAACGATACTTTAATAACTGTTTTTTATTGGTTTCTTCGGTCTCATCACTTCTACCATCCACCTCAACTTTCCTTCTTTTAGAAGGTCGAGCTGATTCATCTTCATCGCATTCCTTCAGAGTTGTTATTCCATCAGGATGGAGTGTGTATTCCAGAGGACCGTCATCATGATCTTGATGATCGTCTAATCGGAAAGCGTCGTCTGGAAGATCTTCTCCTCTAAATTTGGGACGCTCATTATCTTGACATTCACCCTTATCTTCTATTGGACTCTCTTCATTACCATTATTATCATCATCGTCATTATCATCATCGTCATCACCATACTCTTGGTCCCCGTCACATTCCTCATCATCGCTGAATGAAAATCGATTGTCTTCGTCTTTCCCTTCAGTCTCTAGCTGCTTCTCCTCCTCTTCTCTACCATGCCTGAATGCAGTTGTTCTTCTGGTTAATTCCTCACACAATTCATGAACTTCTCGCCTTCCAGTCATAAATACCAAAATACTGCCAGATGGAAGTTTTTTATGAATCTGCATTGATTTGTCAGCAGCCGCTTTCACATAATCCGTTGGGGTCTGTCTGGCGAAATGCAAGGAGACGGAATGTGTTCTGGCGTCAATCTTCAAAACGGGGGGAGG